ATCTGATGGAGATGCCTCTTTAGCCAAAAGGTAGGTACAAGGAATCACTGCAATATCCTTGCTTCAGGTAGTCAAACCTGAAAAGGAAGAGGAAAACTTTCATGGAATCATGGAACTGTGAATGGGACTATGTACATGTTCTCCTATTAAACAAGGGCATGCATGCGTCTAAGTTCCATACTAGGAAAGAGGCCCAGGAAATGCAGCAATTGCAAGGCTCTACTGTTGCATTAGAAGCCCTAGCTTCCTCTTAACATACCAATGGCTGAGACAGTGCCCAGCCTTCACTATCTCTGGGATCCAGGCTCTGAAACACAGCACTATAGCCCCTTCCCTCCACCCCAGATTAGCTCCAAAACACTGATGGTTTACTTAGGAAACCAGTCTGGGCCTAAAAATCAAATCCTTAATGCAATGAGGGAAATACACCAGTGAGGCCTGACTATGACCAACTGGCCAAGGAGAAGCTTTCTTTAAACAACAACAAAAATAAAACAAAATCCAGTGCCTTTAATCTCCATAGCAAACTGGACAGCAAAGGGGGTCAGTAAAACCCCATCATCCCAATGCCTCTGTCAGGGGAAGTTTCTTGCCACAAATGTTTCTGAGGTAGGCTGACCTTTGGGAGTACATCCATCAGTGTGCTGGAGCTCATTTTGGGCACATGGGCATGGTGCTTTTCTGTCCCATGAGGCTATATTTTAAGAAAAGCCATTTATTATCAAATTTGAGAGGCCTTAGAGGCATCTCTACCCAGACTATTGAAGGGAATAGTGAAACAGAAACTATTTTGTCCAAGCCAGCACTAGATTACTGGTCTAAGACTTGGGGCAAGTGATTTGAAGAATCTTGTGCTTGCCTTCTTAAGGTAGCTACCTACCCACTGTAAGGGTCCTTGGCTACTTCTGATTGGGGAGGAGAATTAGAAGGTAGAGAAAAGTTCCTGAGGAATGGGATAAGCCCAGAAGGAAGTTTCTCAGAACTAAACTATTGAATAACTCTCGTTCCCAGGAAGAGCCTTGCTATGAGGAAAGCTTCATTTTCTGACTTTGTTGTCCTGGTTTCTGTCATGGGAGGTCACAGGATCAGTGTACACAAAAAGATGGATATGGTGTGTTGAGCACACAGCCTGCTAATTGGGTGCAAACACAAGGAGCCAATGTTTAATATCAGCCAGAGTACATCTTAATCAAAAAGCCTCTTGCTTATACCTCGAAACTGTCCCCATCAGGGCATGATGGCTATTATAGAGACATTGTGAATGGGGCAACCCCAGCAAGACCAGGTTATTTCCTCCAGCTGGTCTCACTCCTCTATTTTAAAAGAAATCATTACCAGCTAAAGGTAGCCACGTTCATTTTAAAAATGCTGCAAAGCCATCTCAGAAAATCAGAATGAACCAATCTATTGTTCTGTTCTTCTTTTCTTCCCTTCCCTGCTCTGGGCACTAGAAACATTTCCCTCAGCCCAGGAAGACCAACCAGTATGAGATGACATAACCCAACAAGGAAACCAGTCTCCTTCCATTCTATTTGGACAGGGCAGGAGTTCAGAGGGGCTCTTCTGAGGGCTCCTCAAGGTGGGGCAGTGGTCCCTGGAGTTGGATGGAAAAGGTGGGGAATCCCATCGTTCCTGTTGGTCCTCAATGGCCCTCTCTCTTTGGTGACATCTGCAATTCATGTGGATGGAAATCATGTGACTGTGGGGAGAAAGCGCTGTATTGGGTTGCTGGGTGGATTTCCCATTGAGATCAGGGCAGCAGCATATGGCTCCAAGATGCAACTTGACCCTGGGAAAGAATTCTCAGGGACTTCGTGCAAGGCAGTAGAGTTTGGTGGGAATAGGCCCTGGAATAAGAGCCAAAAGATGTGGGTTCTAATCCTAACCCTGCTCTTAGCCAGCTGTGTGACCTTGGGAAAATTACTTTACCTCTGTCTCCATTTCCTGGCCTGACAATTGAGGAATTTGAAGTAGATGATGTGATCCTAAGGTTCCTTCCAGCTAGAAAACTCTATGATTCAATCTAGGCTAATACTAAAGTCCATCAGGACACAAAGCAGTCATGCTAATGGCTATGCTTTCCAAAACAGTGAAGAGAAAAGAAATTTTCTCTCAATTTACCCCTACTTAACACTACTTAGGAAGTTCTTCAGCCCAGCCCTCATATATACATTTATCCCTTTTTTGTCCCTATTTCTATTTCTGTAGGGGAGAAAAATCAGGAGGTAGGAACAAGCAACAGATGAATTGTGTGTGTGTTTATGCACGTGTGGAAGAGAGAAGGAGAAGTATGTGTGGGGGTATGGCAAATGCTTGCTGAATGACTGGATATTTTCTGACTGTGCAGAAGGTAACACAAAGGGACTTCAGTGGTAAAACTGGATTGGGTAAAATTGGGAATGGTTGATAGTTGTGAAGGAGTTCAGTTACAAAAACTCTGCCTTAAAAATGGGCCCTTAAAATGCAATTATTGAAGGCTTAAAGTTTGAACTATGCCAAGACACCCTAAAGTGGCACTACAGAAGCATTTCTTTAAAATTGATTCAAAGAAAGATGGAAAATCTATTATTATTATAAAAGACAGTTGGCTCAAAGGTCATTCTGAAGAAAATATATCTATTTTGTAGTGATACAAATGCCATGAGCTAGCATGGAGCCTGGGCATCAGGAAATCTAGATTCCTTCTCTGCCCCTGGTCTTTATCAGGTCATTTAGCTGCCCGGAGCCTCTGTTTTCTCAATTTAAAATGAAGGTATTGGACTAAATAATGTCTTGCCAGGAGATCTGGAGGTAGACCAGTAGACCATGGGTGGGGTCTTTAGGGGTCTGGCTTAGAGTTTAGAAAGAGGCCTCCAACTCTTGCCCTCACCTCCCAATCACAAAACCAATTTTCCCCGGTAACTACAGATTGTTCTGGGAAACACTAAGAAAACCCTGGGTTTCTAAAAAGAAGTACGGGGTGGGGAGTAAAATAGGCTCCTTAGTGGTTTCCAGCAGATCTACAAATAAAGGAGGAGGGCAACAAGATATCCTCATAATTTGGGGTTCTTTGAAGATAATTTAACCAGAAACCAGTACTACTAGCCTCTGGACCTTTCCTGAACCAAAAATGATGCTGGTAGCTAAGGACGAGTGAATCTCACCTCAGGGCACATGAGCTCCCCCTTCCACCACTGGTTCTCCCCCTACACAGTGCATATCAGCAATGCCGTCAAGCTGCCACCAATCCATATCAGGGTGTTCTGCAGTATCTCATGATGATGAAGCAGCTTCAGACATACATCCACACACATACACACACAGCAAGCTCATTCCAGTTAGAGTGGGAGAATGACTGGAAGTCATTCAAGCCAAACAGCAGCTTGGCTTCAAATGTTGTACCTTTCAAAATATTTGAACAATTACAAACAAATAAGGAAATCTTCATATCTGCTAAGAGCAAACACAGAATTGGCATGCATGGCTTTCACTTAAATTTAGTTGTCTTTGCCATTATGGGCAATGCTTACAGACAAAAAGCAATGCTATGAACCTGTACCTCAAAGATTGAGTACTATTTTAAATGATCAGTCCTTAGCAAAGAGAAATCCTCTGATAGTGTTAAAAAACAAGTGAAAGGTTTCTGTGTCTTCAGTATGAAATATCAGGATTATAGATAAAAAAGAGTTGTTCAAAATATGCCATAGCATTTCATTTAAAATATCATTAGAATGTCTGGTCCACACTTGTTATTAATGTAAGCGTAATTGTTAAAAAGCTATCAAAAGACTGATTCTATTGAATTGGCCTCTGCTATTCATTTTGTTTTCTCCTGGAGGTTTCTGTTTGGCAGTGACAGCATGATTTCTAAACTACATTATTCTTCT